TGGCGGCGGCAGAGGCTGTCGGCGCCCTCTCACCCGGATGTGCAGACGTGGAGGGGGTGTGTGTCCTTTTTTTTGGTTAAAGCGAGCGGCTGGGTGGGTGGAAAGCAGCTAATCTCCCTTTGCTCGGCCCATCCTCAGGCTTGAGTATTAAGACAGAGCAGGTTCCCCCGCACAACAGTTCTCCTCTCTCTCTATTACAGGCAGGGATTATTCTCCCTAAAGAGGGAAGTCACCCGGATGTGCAGACGTGGAGGGGGTGTGTGTCCTTTTTTTTGGTTAAAGCGAGCGGCTGGGTGGGTGGAAAGCAGCTAATCTCCCTTTGCTCGGCCCATCCTCAGGCTTGAGTATTAAGACAGAGCAGGTTCCCCCGCACAACAGTTCTCCTCTCTCTCTATTACAGGCAGGGATTATTCTCCCTAAAGAGGGAAGACGAGGGAGCTTCACGGCACACAAACGTTAACGTTGAACAACAGTTTTCATAACTCTATGGTTCACAGGCAATCCCGTTTAACAGTATCCTTCATTTTAGTGCCGGAAGTGCATGCTTTGTAGAGGGTTCTTTTTTTTCCTCCGTGATACTCCCCTGTTTCTCACTGAAAAAAGTCAGTCCCCAGCCGCTTCGCATAGAGCGCATGCGTCAACTAAATGGCTACTTTTTTTTCCGCTTCACCCGCCTTCCCACGTTGGTTCTAAGCCCTGCCTCCGAGACCCGTTTCTACCAATAGGGATGTGATATGTTTTGAATGAAATCCCGCCTCCGTGCCGGCTTAGAACTTGCACCGCTGTCAATTTATTTTACTCCCCCGCACTGGCCGATAGCATGGGATAGTTCAAATGTATATAAAAAAGCTCCCGCTCTGAGCCGTGATTGGCCGCGCCAGTGGCAGCCCCTGGCGCTGATTGGTCCGGGGCAGAAGAGGAGTTAAAGAGCTGAGGAATTCGGCAGAGTGAGTCTGTAGGGGGTCTGAATGAACGCGGGGACTAAGAAGAGAGATTTCAAGGGTCATCGAAGGGCTTGCAGGTAAAAATGCTGATGGGGCTTTGAAAGGGGCCATCTTTTCCTGGGTGAAGTTTTGACCGGGTGAGCTTCATTTGCCGACACTTTAACACACCTGCAGTTATTTAATCAGCTTCCGGCTTCAGTGATCCGTTTGGGTCAGCGGCGGCTAGAATACACAGGCATGAAATGCAACACTTAGGTAAATCCCATTGATTTAATATGAACCCTATAATTGGGACTAACAGCTGGATATAGCCTGTTGTGCTTCCCTTTAGTGTCTTTGTTGGGCTGACTTCCCTAGCTAAAAGTTGGTTGGTCATAATAAATTTGCGGTAATTTTAATAACTTTAATGGCAATAATTTTATTAGGATCAACCCAAATACTGTGGAAGTGTGTAAAGCCTTTGGATTCCTAGCCTTACTGTGCTTGGGCTTGAGACTGCTATTTCTGTGGTGTCTGCTTTTTAAAGATATAGTTATTAGGTAGAATGTAAGAACTGATTTACTATTCCCTTCTTCTGGGAGCAATCTACCACCATGTAGCTTGCCTAAGGGTGGCACTTCTCTTGGGAGACAAAGATTGGCTTTCTTTACAAAGATTTATGATAACTAAAACAATGTAACCTAAAGAGGTGTGTGTAATATATGCCTTCAAGTCTCAACAAACTTAGAGCAACTCAAATAAGATTTTACAGTCAGGGAGATATTTAAGGAGTGGGTATACTAGTGCTATTTACACACACACTGTGAGTTTCCATGGCTGAGTGCAGATTTAATTCCAGGTCTTTTGAGTCCTAGTCCACAATTCCATCTACTGCATCACACTGAGTACATCAAAAAAAAGAGTAGTCTGCTACTGAGACTGCACTCTGGGCTACATTTACTGGGAAGGGGCCCCACCCCATCAGTCACAGAATTGGTCAGTTTCAGCCTTTTCAGCATCATTGATTGGTGCATAAACTTGGATTACTGTGATGTTGAAAGGTCTGCCTTGGATTCGTATTGAAATCCTTCTGTCATTTTTGAGATTGTATCCCAGTACAGCTTTTCCCACTCTTTTGTTGACTATGAGGGCTACTCCATTTCTTCGATGGGATTCTTGACCACAATAGTAGATATAATTGTCCGAATTGAATTTGCCCATTCCCCTCCATTTTAGTTCACTGACGCCCAGGATGTCGATGTTTATTCTTGCCATCTCCTGTTTGACCACATCCAGCTTCCCAAGGTTCATA